ACAACTTAGATCAAACAAAACAATTCAACACAATACAAACAATATTCAAACACAATAGAGAAAAGATGCCAAATCATCTTAAGCGAGATAGAATCTCCACCCCACAACAATACAATCAACATGTAGGGACTTTGCCTTAAGAGAGATAAAGGCATACTCGTCAAATAATCCGAGTACTTGAGCCCTTTTCTTAAGACGATGCAAAGACTATTTTCCTACAACCTATGGCAGTTAAATCTCCCTTAAAATGATAACACATCTCTTCTCCTAAAATCAATCAATCAACTACCCTAAAAGCCGTAGGAACTTTGACCACAGTCAAAGAACTCCTCTAACCCTTTAGGGGAACTACAAATACTCTGATTCCACTCCCGTAAGGATATGTAGGCATAAGATGCGACGTCTTATCGAGTATACTTAGAAATAAACCACTAGGGTCCTTTAACCATTAAGCAGATAAACACTTAGCAATAAACAAATAATAAAACAAGAGGTTCCTGTAGAGTACTACAGAAACTTAGGATGCTAGTACCTTCCCTAAGTTTAACCAACCCCCGAACCTATAACTCTCTAAACCTTGCATTTGCATCGCATTGTGGGAATTTCGATCTTTATCCCTTCCTTTGGACAAATCAAAGTTCGGTTGCAAAATGAATTAAAGATTCAAACTAATCAATAGTTTGGTATCCGATTTTCACCGCGACACAGTGGTTTTGTGATTATTGGAAAAATGTGCATTTTCAAATATTTATTTGATTAATAAAATATAATATTAATTTATTAGTATTATTATTAATTAAATGGAATATAAGTGAAGTAAGGGTAATTTGGGTATTTGATGAAGTTAGTAAGGGTAATGAAGGAAAAGCCCAATGTGTGAGGCCCATGACTAAGTTAGACAAAATAGAGTTCTGAGAGGAATTGAAATTCCTTTGTATGTAACGTGAAAGTTGGTGTGGCCAGAGCTCTGAAGGAAATGTTGGAGGCAGAAGATCCCAAATAGAAATCGTGAAAGCTGGGAATCGACTAAGGTGTGGGGAGTATTTCTGTTCATGATTTTCCATGTATGCCTTTAGATGTATTCATGGTGGATTTAGGATTTAAGGGTTTCTGAGTTGAATTGGGGAAACTAAGATATTCGATTATAGAACTCTAAGATTGTGGGTTATGGTATGAATCACTGAATATTAATGTGACTTTGGAAACCAAAACCTTGGATTGTGATATGTTTGACCTGTAGGAATAGGAATATTCAAATGTGAGTAACTCTGATGTACTCAGAGCAATTGCAGGAAAATAGTGTTTTAGGCCGTGCAAATGTTGCCAGATTAGCCTAAAGAACCATAGAGTTTGTACTGTTATTGTCGTATAACCTTAGGGATGATTTAGGGATACTTTGGGGCATTGGGTGAATGATTCGTATGAGTTTTTGGGTGGAAATCAGTTCTGGTGTGTAGCAGAAGTTGCTGTCATCGCACTGTTCGCCTAGCGAGCAAGACAACGAAGGTTTGCTAGAGGCTCGCCTAGCGAGGGGCTCGCTACGAGACTCGCCTAGAGAGCAAGCCAGCGAACGTAGCAAAAGTTCACGAAATTGAGTGTTGTGCAGCGATGCCGTGATGTGTGATTCTGGGATTTCTGGGATGAGTTGCCATGAGTATGACAGTGGGTTTTAGGTGATGGGTACACGATGTTATGATAGTTTTCCATGATGTATTGATTGAGTTAATATGATGAACTATGTGATAACATGAGATATGATGCTTTATGTGATTTATGTGATGATGATGAACATGATGAATGATGATGCACCATATGCTGTATTGCGAGGATTATTATTGTGACGTGTGCATCATGCATTCATGCGCATTCGATTGCTTTGGCTTCAATCCCACTGTGTGGATGTGAAGTATTTTAACGTGCTCTGATCCTATTGATGGGGATCTATGGAGGGTTGATGGCCCAGGGTCCATCGAGCTGTGATGATTGGTACCACATGCATTGAGTTGTGTTGCATTGCATTTATGAGTCTTTGTGTATAAATTATGATGTTGTGATCTTTGAGGCATATGTGAGTAATATGAATGTGTTGAATATGAATATGTTGCCGTTTATACATTAATTGTCATACATTGATTATTATGAATTGTTTTACTCACCCTGCCTGTTTGAATGTTACCTCCACGTGCGGTAACGTGCAGGTGATCCAGTTTAGCCGAGTTAGTTTTGAAGTTTTTGAGTGTTTTAGTCTTTTGGTCAGTTTAGATGGTCTTGCTCTGATATGTAACATCGGGTTGGGTTCTTTGAGTTGATTTGTTTTACTGTTGAAGTTATGTTGATTAAATTCCCTTTTTGAGGAAACTTTGAAGTATGTTTTGAATTCCGTTGTTTTTGATGCTTTGATGTATTTTTGGGAAAAACCCGTAGTTACGGAGTATGAATCCTATTTTGATGAATTTGAGAATGTACGCCAGAGCATTTTAATGAGATTTATTTATTCACTCTGATTTATGTGTTATTTTATCTGATATTTTTGGGGTAGAAAAAGGGTGTTACAATAATGATGATATTGATATAGAGATTTATCCTAGTAAAATTTATATTAATTAATTTTGAAAATATTTTTAAATATTATTAAAGTTATTAATTATTAATTAATTATATAAAAAAATATTAATTAATAAATTATCCTAGTCCTCACTACGACGCTATCAAAAATAATATTTTTATTCTAATCATTACTGCAACGTTTTCAAATATGGATGGAGACCAAAAAATTCTAAAGAAAATAATGTCAAGAAACTAAAAAATTTACTTTTAAAATAGGAGATCAAATAATTAAACCAAAAATACATTTGAGTCTTTTATTATTTACTCTTTTGACTTAACTTTAATTTTAGTTCTATTATTATTATTATTTACTCTTTTGACTTAACTTTAATTTTAGTTCTATTATTATTATTATTATTATTATTATTATTATTATTATTATTATTATTATTATTATTATTATTATTATTATTATTATTATTTTAAAGTTTTGACCGTTCATTTTAAAATTTAATTTTTTGATTATTTTTGTTTATAATTTTAATCTTCTTTCAAATTTAAGGTCAAATTTTAATGACAGAACTATCCACTTAATGATTTGTTAATGCCACGTCTACACAAATTTGTTGTTGATCATATTTTTTACTTGATAACTTACATGTAAATTTTATTTTAATAATAGTAATATAAATGAATATATTTATAAAAAAATACGATAAAGTTAAAAAAACATAAACTAAATTAATATGAATTTGTTATGATTTATTTTTTGTTTTAGAATATTTTTTTTAATTATATGAACTTTTAAAGAAAATATATACTATTAATTAATTATAATTTATAAATATGAAAAATTTAAGATAGAAAGAGATCAAAACTTCTTGCTTCCCTACAATAAAGAAGGCCAACATATCAACTATGCTATTTGTACAATTTATGTTGGCCCTTCTTTATTTAATGAGGTCAGAGGTTCGATCATTTTATATCCAAACATTTTATTTTTATAAATTATAGTTAATTCTATAATTTTTCTTTAAAAACATATCATTAAAAACTCATCTTTAGATAAAAATAAATTATAAATAAATTATCTTTAAATAAAAATAAATGATAGAAAATAAGATATGATTCACCAAATAAAAAAAATAAAATCTGACTTGTAATTAATTGTGGTAGATGTGATTATGACACGTTATCTAGTAGAATGTTATGTTATTAAAATTTAACCTTAGATGCTTAAAAAAAAGAAATCAAAAAATAAAAAATTGAATTTTAAAATAGAAAATCAAAACTTAATAAAAGAAGAAAATAAAGATATTAAATTACAATTAAATATTTATTTTAATATAAATTAATGTTTAGACATAAACAATTTTGCGCTCTTTTGTCTATTTTTTGAATAGAGACATATATGAAAATATAAATGATATATTTTTTTTTTTAATTTTCATTAACATACCATGTTTGTTGTCTATTTATTTTATTTTATTATGAAGTTAATCTTAAATAAAAATATTTACCAATATTTAAAATAAAAATGAGAAAAATAAATTATTAGAAAAAAATGTTCATGAATGCTAACATAAAAATGAGAGAGAGGATATATTTTTTTATAAAAAATAAAAATTAAAACAATTGTAGTCAAGAAATTTTTAAAGGTAAAATTAGAATGAAAATAAAGTACATCAAAAATCTGTTTTTTTTTAATAAATATTATCTATATTGTTATATATAATATATTAGATTAATTGAATACATTATCATTTTTATTCTAAAGTAATTTTACACAATTATTCAATTAAAATAATCATTTTAACACATAAACATCAAAATTAAAAATAAAATAATATATTATAATTAAATTATCCTAATAACTGTATTTTATCTCTCAAAATAATTAATTTTAATTAAATAACAGTATAAAATTGTTTTACACTGAAAATATATTCTAATTAATCTAATAATATTATATTTGTCTTTAAAAAATAAAATAAGATACTAAATTTCCACTCAATAAAATAGACATAACTAATATCATTTGAAATACATATATTTAATTATTTTGACATATTTTATTTTTTTATTCAATAAAAATAAAAATAGAAATAAAGCCCATGTCTATTTCCCCCGATCACCAGATCGAATCTGTTTCCAAGTTCATTGATTCAACAACGCGCCATATTTTTCAACCAAAAAAGAAAAAAACAACGCGCTACATTTTTCTCTTCCCGCTTTATTTCATTTCCAAACCTCCAAAATTTTCCATTTTCAAACTTTCAAACTTTCAAACTTTTCATTTTCATCTTCTATTTTCCAATTTCAAACTCCTTCTTCCCTCGCTCTTTTCCAAATTCATTTCAAATTCCCCGCAAAAACAAATTTTCCTTTCATAATCGAAACTAATTCCTTATTAACACCACCAACCTTCACTCCAAATCCCAAACAACCCCAACATGGATTTTGCCGCAAACCTTACCGATCTTCCCCCAAACAAAAGACACAGATTTATTCAACAACCTCAACAACAACAACATAGTCCATGTTCACCTTTACCCACCAAAAAACGTAAAGAATCTCGAAACTCATCACTTTTTCACACCCCTCCTTCAACACCATCACCCTCCATTTATTCTCTACCCACCAAAAAACGAGTTTCCGCTCTTCACCCCCACTTTTACCACCACCACAACACCTCAAACGACGCCGTTCTCCACCCACTCATAGATCTCAACGTTGAATACAACCCAGCTCTCCACTCACCCATCCCAACCGACAAAAAACCTCAACAGCAACAAACACAAGACACTAACAACAACAACAAAGAAGTCGTCGCTGAAGAGGATGGGATTTTATGCTGTGTGTGTCAGAGCACCGACGCTAATTCCGAAGATCCAATAGTTTTTTGCGATGGTTGTAATCTAATGGTCCACGCTTCCTGCTACGGAAACCCACTAGCCAAAGAAATCCCAGATGGTGATTGGTTCTGCGGACAGTGTTGTTTTACAGGCACCGTTCCCACAATACGTTGCTGTCTCTGTCCAACAAAAGAAGGTGCTATGAAACAAACAATAGACGGAAAGTGGGCACATGTGGTGTGTGCTTTACTTGTTCCTGAAGTATATTTTGTTGATCCAGAAGGGAGGGAAAAGATTGATTGTTCTAAGGTTCCGAGGAAGAGATGGTTGGAGAAATGCTATGTTTGTGGGTGCTGTGATGGGTGTGCTTTGGTTTGTTCTGAACAAAAGTGTGGTTTGGGTTTTCATATTACTTGTGGGATTAAAGAGGATGTTTGTATTGAGTATAGGGAAGGGAAGAAAGGTGCTACTGTTGTTGCAGGGTTTTGCAAAACCCATTCTCAGATATGGGAAAAGGTAACATCTTGCTTGTTTGGTTTGATAGATTTGTTTTTTGTGAACGATTTTGATTTGATTTTGTTGGTGCAGAACAAGGGATCTGGGAAATACAAAATTGTTGCAGATAAAGAATAATACTATCAAGATTGGTAGTTGAGGTTTTTCAATTCTGTTAATCTGTTTTTGGGGTTAGTGTAGGAGTTCATTTGAGTTTTGTTTTAGATTTTGTTTATGCTTTTTTAGTGTTGTATCTTGTTTGACAACATTATTTTGTTACTGGAACTGTAATGAAAAAGTGGTGATTGAACTATAATCAACTCGAGTTTCTTAATCATCAAAAAGTTATCAGGCCATAAGATTGTGTACTATTTATAAGTGTTTCTCAAATTTGAATCCATTTTTTTTAGAGAGAAATCATCATATTTATTTTTGTTTACTAGAGGAATATGATGATAACATGAGTAGCTCTTGAATAGAAGATATCTTTGGAAGAATTTAACATAGCGAAGTCTTTAAGAAACACACCTAAATAATGCTTTACTAGATATCATACCAAGATGCTTAATGATCACTGTGTCATATGATATTTTATAGGTTCATCTAGAGTCCAATGATAATTAGATAAAAGAAGAATTTTATGCTCATTCTACAAAATAGTTTATTGATATTCAATAGTTTTATATTCATATAATATACATTAGATAATAAAATTATTCTCTAACTTGTTATCATGAAAACCAAAATTAAAGAGCAATTGTTCTTCAAAATAACAATGGTAACATATTTCTATACATAACTAATTGGTGATGACCAAGAGTAATTTTCACACATTGGGTTGTAAACCTGCGATATTGGACTATAGTAATACCCAAAAAGAGCTTAATAAGGGAAAACACAATCCTATAAGGTGTTATTCAGAAATCATATGCACTAGCATACAAATGTTGCATTTAGGATTGTCTCACTATATGGATGCTAATGTGTTGATAACATATGTTAGCCAATATGTTTTATGTGAGATATTGGATCGAATTTTAATATAGTCGAAGTCTGTTCGCGAGTAATGTGTGTTGTAGTTGAAATTTGTTCTAACATGCATTAGTAAATATTGCTAGGGTTGTTAGCATGTTGAATTGGGTCTTGCTTGTAAGCGCAATTGTTTAAGTTAGCTTGTACCCTAAGTTGACTTGTAATGGGTAATTGTTAAAAAGCCCATTAGGTTAATGTGCTATTTTATTATAAATAGAATGCTAGTTTCTCAATCTCGATATAAGGAAAAATAGGAAGATAAAATCCTAATTTCAAGGGAGAGAGGTTATTTTGTTATTCTTGTATACTTGTAATCTTGTTCTAAGAGAAAAGAAAGAATAACAGTTTAATAACCAATCCTTGTTGTTCCTTGTTGTTTTACCTTGTCTTTTTTATTAACCCTAACCCTTGTGTGTTTTTTGATAAGAAAGAAACTGTTTATACTTTGTTTAAAGGTATCCGATTCACAACAAATTGGTGCGGTGAGTGTGGAGAAGATGCCTTCAACAAAGTATGAGATTGAAAAGTTCACCAGAGTGAACGACTTCGGTTTGTGGCGCTTGAAGATGAAAGCCCTGTTGGTTCAGTAGGGTTGTTTGGAAGCGTTGAAGGGTGAGGCAGTCATGGACGCTGCATTAATGGCAAAAGAAAAGACGGGCATGATTGAGAAAGCTCACAGCGCAATATTGTTGAGCCTTGGTGATAAGGTTCTTCGACAGGTATCAAAGGAGACTACAACATCGGGATTATGGGTGAAACTTGAAAGTTTGTACATGACCAAATCCCTAGTGAATCGACTATACCTGAAGCAAGCTTTATATTCGTTCAAGATGAGTGAAGACAAAGTGTTGGCTGAGCAGTTGGATATGTTCAACAAGCTGATTCTTGATCTTGAAAATATTGACGTGAAAATCGATGATGAAGATCAAGCACTGTTGCTGCTGTGTGCTTTGCCCAAAACACATGCTCACTTCAAAGAAACTCTCTTGTATGGAAGGGAGTCCCTGACCTTTGAAGAAGTTCAATCAGCCTTGTATTCTAAGGACTTGAACGAACGAAAGGAGCATAAACCTTCGACGGTGGGCGAAGGTTTGACCGTTAAGGGAAAATTCTTGCGAAAGGATGGTAAGTTCGACAAGAAGAAAGGTAAAAGTCAACAAAAGTCTTATAGTGGCGAAACATCTAATATTCGATGTTATCACTGTAAGAAGGAGGGTCACATAAGAAAGGTGTGCCCTGAACGCCTGAAAGATCATGGAGGTAATGGCAATGCAGCCATTGTTCAAGATGACTTCGACTCATCTGATGTTCTTGTGGTTTCAAGTGGCGACTCGAGGAAAGAGTGGATTATGGATTCAGGTTGCACTTGGCACATGACTCCAAACAGAGAATTGTTCGAGGAGCTATGTGATCAAGATGGTGGATCTGTGCTGCTAGGAAACAACAAATCTTGCAAAATTGCAGGTATTGGATCTGTGAGATTCAAGCTCCATGATGAGTCAATAAGGTTATTGACTGAAGTCAGGTACGTACCTGACTTGAAGAGAAATTTGATTTCTCTTGGTGAATTCGACAGAAAAGGATATGTTTTTAAAGGAGAGAAAAGTATCCTAAGAGTCATGAAGGGGTCGAAGGAAGTTTTGAGAGGCGTGAAGAAACAAGGCTTGTATACCTTTGAGGCTGAGGTTGTAAGTGGTTCGACAAATGTTGCATCCACGAAATCTATGTCGAAGACAGAATTATGGCACATGAGATTGGGCCATGTCAGCGAAACAGGCCTGGTCGAATTGGGGAAGCAGAACCTGCTAGGAGGTGACAAAGTCGAAAAGTTGAAATTTTGTGAATCTTGTGTATTTGGTAAATCCTGTAGGGCGAAGTTTAACAAAGGCAAGCAAAGAATACATGGATCCCTAGATTACATTCATGTTGATCTTTGGGGGCCTGCAAGGAATCCTTCACACTCAGGTGCAATGTATTTTCTATCCATCGTTGATGACTATTCCAGAAAGCTATGAGTATTCATTCAGAAGACGAAGGATGAAACTTTTGAGAATTTCAAAAGTTGGAAGATTCTAGTCGAAACTCAGACTGGCAAAAAGGTTAAGAGGTTGAGAACCGACAATGACCTTGAATTCTGCAACGAAGCTTTCGACAGTTACTGTGTTGGGTCTGGGATTGCAAGGCATAAGACTGTAGCAGGTACTCCTCAACAAAATGGCTTAGCTGAGAGATTCAATCGAACAATCCTTGAAAGGGTTAGATGCATGTTGGTTAGTGCTGGATTGAAGAAGGTGTTTTGGGCGGAAGCTGTTTCGACAGCAGCTTACCTAATAAATAGATGTCCCTCGACTGCCTTGGGAATGAAGACACCTGAAGAAGTTTGGTCGGGACATCCACCTAGTCTCGACAGACTGAGAGTATTTGGCTGTGTGGCCTATGCTCATATTAGGCAAGACAAGGTCGAACCTAGAGCTCTGAAGTGCATGTTCATGGGATACCCTAAAGGAGTCAAAGCTTATAGGCTATGGTGCCTAAAGCCAGGTCACAGAAGGTGTATCACCAGTCGAGATGTAGTTTTCAATGAAGCAGAGATGGCTTTTAAGAAAATTGATGATGCTGACGAAGAGCTGGAACAGGGAGAGATTCCTGTTGAGGTGGAGCATGTTGATGCTGAATTGCTTACCCCAGATGAAGTCGAAGAAGACGCAGAAGATGTTGTCGAAGATGAGAAGATTGATAATGACTACGTGCTAGCAAGAGACAGGTCGAGGAGAGTCATCAAGCCACCTCAGAGACTTGGGTATGCAGATCTTATAGCTTATGCCTTAATCTCTGCTAGTGAGGTTCTAGATGAAGAACCTAGAGACTATAAGGAAGTTATAAGGAGTCGAAAGAAGACTGAATGGCTGAAGGCCATGGATGATGAGATGAAATCTCTTCATGATAACAACACCTGGGAACTGATCAAGAAACCTGCTGGAGCCAGGTTAGTCAGCTGTAAATGGATTTTCAAAGTTAAGGAAGGAATCGAAGGAGTGACGTTGAAGAGATACAAGGCAAGATTGGTTGCTAGGGGGTTCACTTAGAAAGAAGGTATCGACTTCAATGATGTGTTCTCTCCTGTTGTGAAGCACCGATCCATTCGAATGTTGCTTGCCATAGTGGCCCAGTTCGACCTTGAACTAGAACAGATGGATGTGAAGACTGCGTTCTTGTATGGTAATCTAGATGAAACAATCCTGATGAGGCAACCTAAAGGGTATGTCGAAAGGGGGAAGGAAGATTATGTGTGCAAACTGAATAGATCTTTATATGGACTGAAACAATCTCCTCGACAGTGGAATAGGAGATTCGACAAGTTCATGGCACACATAAGTTTCATCAGAAGCCCAGTTCGACCACTGTGTTTACTTCAGACTTCGACCGGGTAATTCATTTGTTATTTTGTTGCTCTATGTGGATGATATTCTAATAGCAAGCAACAATGTCGAAGAGGTAATGAGGGTGAAGGGTGAACTCAATAAAGAGTTCGAAATGAAGGATCTGTGAGCTGCGTCCAGGATTCTTGGGATTGACATCCGGAGAGATAGAAAGCATTTGAAATTATGCTTATCTCAAGAGGCATACCTACAGAAGGTTCTCGAAAAGTTTGGTATGTCGAATTCAAAGCCTGTTGTGACTCCGACAAACCCTCAATTCAAGCTGAGTATAGATCAGTGTCCCAGCACTGATGTTGAAAGAACTTATATGAATAGCATTCCATATGCTAACATAATAGGTTCTTTGATGTATGCTATGGTCTGTACTAGACCCGACATAGCATATGCAGTAAGTCTTGTAAGCAGGTACATGGCGAATCCTGGAAAGGCTCACTGGCAAGCATTGAAGTGGATTTTAAGGTACATAAATGAGTCTTTGATAGAGTCCTAATTTATGGTGGAGCCTTGGGTGAAGATAGTAAAGCAACAATCGATGAATATGTCGACTCTGATTATGCAGGTTGTATGGATTCCAGAAAATCTATCTCTGGATATATGTTCACTATGTTTGGGACAACAATTAGTTGGAAAGCAACACTTCAGAAGGTCGTTGCCCTATCAACCACT